ACATAAGGGGAGAACAAATAAATTTGTTATTAATGCCAAACTAGGATTAGGAAAGCAATGCCCAAGTAAGCTACATTGAGTACTGCAATCACAACAACTATCACAACTTGAATAAAATGCTCCTCTTCAAAATTCAGAATTTCAATTTATAAGAGAAAATTTTAGCAGTGGTCTAACCTTGCTTTCAGAACCAAGGGTAAAAGCCTGATAAAATTTAACAGGATTTGAGTTAGATTAGTTTATCAGTTTTAAAAAGCCTCAGTCAACAAATTCAGAATAACAACTTTGTCAATATAGTTTCCACATTCTACTCAGTAAAGTCTTTACCAGCATTTCCTCACAGAAAACACTTTTCTTCTTGAAATTTGCTATATGTTCCCAGCCTTTTTTTTTTCCCCATCCTTTCTTTTTTCTGGCTGAAACCCCAGTCCCCATTAATTCTAAATTAAGTATATGTACATTGGCATTAAGAAACCTATGCTGAAATACAACCTAGAAGAAATATTAAGCTATAAGAAAGAAATATTAACAGAAAGCCAAGAAGCTGAGGATAAACTACAACAGGGACATGAAATGTTCCCACTTTTTCTCTCCCAACCAGAATGTGGAAGTTGGATCAACAGAGCAGAATTTTATAGTAAATTTGCCACTCTCTGAGGGAGGGGTATTGGAAGAGAGCCTACACCAGACAACGGAAAATCTCTGATTAACACGTACACTACAGGAGGCCTTGGCCAGCCAAACCCCAGCTGACCTATTTAGGTGGATCTACATGGCACTCGTCGCTTCCCCCGGAGGGCTTTTCTGCGGTTTGGAAGAGACTGCTCCAACTCTTGCCCGACACAAAAACTGAAAAACAGGTTACGGTGTGTATCAGAGGGATTTCTTCCCACCTCCATTCCCACTTCAGCCCTGGGTGTCTTCAAATCTCAGTCGCCTCCAACGTTTCAAACGCTTCAGGCCCCTTGCATCATGCAGCCAGTTCCCAGATCAGCTCTTTCACTGTCCACCCTTTGCCCACCCCCAGACACTACTTTGGTAATCCTCACCTAACAAACGCACCAGAAACCCACTGCTGTTGTATAAACCAGCACAAATTAAAAATTGTCTCACGTTCTAATCACAGTGAATAATGGAAATAATCACACATAGCAAACATACTGCATTAGTTCCTTCTTACCTCCCAAAGGAAAAATACCTTTTCAAAATTTGAGAAAACAGTCCTAAGATTCCAAGGCAGAACAAGCATCAATATGAAGTAACAGAACCAAATCTTCTAATAATAAAGAGTCTATTTAATCACCCGTCAAAACTAAAAAAAACATTAATTTCACTATTTATGTGTTATGACTTGAAAGTAAAGATAAACACTCCTCCTTGTGTTTGGCTTTTCATATTCAGAAACAAAGCCAAAAAGGGGAGCAAAAGGCTAGAGCATTCCTACAACCACTTGCTAGGAGGTGGCTCTAGTACTGGAACCCTCAGAAAAACTAATCAGAGACAACTCAAGGTATAAATTCAAAGCAGGGTAGATAAAGTGCACCAAGTATCTCTCTCAGTCTCTCCTGATACTCTTAGAATTGATACACTTCACACAGAATTAAAGTAGCCTTTGTTTAATTAAGTAAATTAATATTTGTAAGCAACTAAATTCAACTGAATTCCAGATTAGTTTCTCCACGTGCAAGTTTAATGCAATTTAATTAATCTATTTTAAAACATTAATTCAGAATAATTCTTATGAGCAGTCCTTGTAAACAAACCTATTTATTGAAATATCTGATGGCTTTACAAAGTCACAGGACATAATTCCAAAGTGTATAATCAAAAACATCCAACATCTTGTTAACATACAAAAACAGGCACAAAACATGAATCTTCTCTCTCATACTAATTAGTGAGGGTAAACACTATTTAAAAAAAAAAACTATTTCCAAAGCTCTAGTCTGCTTCGAGTGTTTCACTGAACTTCTCTTATCTGAGCAGCTAATCACTCCCCTGGCTAATATTTCTCAGTGTTATTGATAAATGAAAAAACTTCTCTCATACTTCAGCTTGCACTATGCCAAAAATTTACTTCTGATTGTGTGAAAAAAGCTGAAGGATGCCATTTCACTTTGCCCAACCCCAAGGCCCCAAATGTTTTTCCTCCGCTTCATTTCCCTTTTCCTTTAAATCAATTCAGGCCAGTTTTCAAATACGTAACTTCTGTTACAGGTATCTGTTATCCTTCATACAAGCACTACTGGCCAATTAGCCCATTTTTCTGAGCCTAATATCTACCATGAATGGGACAAACAAAGATCCTTATCAAAGAGCTAGGATTTGCTGACACTTACTAAAGCTTTCCAAAACAGCAAACCAGGTGGACTACACAGGCAAGCCCACTGATAAGAATGCATCTGATACATGCTCTGTGAGGACACCGCTGTGCAGAAGGACAATGACCTGATGCTGTCAACGGATTAAAGTTCCTCTTCCCTCTGAAACTGAAGACCCGGAGAGGACATCACACTCCTTAACTCTACTGCTTTTGTTGAGTCTGTTCAAATTCCCCGAGTACTCGTCCTTTCAGGGAAACAGCCCAGAAGGACCACTGAGCTGTAAGTCGCTGTGCAAAGAATAACCCATACTAAGAATGCCCTTGTGCAGTTCAGTTTCATCCACTCTGGAAGCAAATTATGCAAAACCAGCAAAAAGGCACCCCAAGTAAATTTTTCACAACAGTCTTAAAGCATTACCAACAAGCTCAGGTTAACTGGGCTCCCCAGTTCAAGAAAGATGAAGAGCTACTGGAGAGAGTCCAGCGGAGGGCTACGAGGATGGTGAGGGGACTGGAGCATCTCTCCTACGAGGAGAGGCTG